GGGTTGTGGATGTGGGTGGGTGTAGGTGTCGGTATGTGTTGAGGGAAGAGTCATACCCACACCCACAACCACACGCACACCCGACATCCACACCCACACACCCTGAAATCCATAATCTTGATCAATTTGTTAAAACAACACTTAGTATGATCGACGATCTCAATAAATATCTTGAAGAGAAAAAAAACATTTTATAAAGAAGAAATTGTTCATCAAGCAGAAGAATCGTGACATTGCACAATGAACATCCATTTGAAGATGAATTTTTTCTTGGAATTCATCCATCAGTTTTATTTATAAAAGAATAAAAAGAACAACAATAAAGATTTATTATTTATTAAATATATTCATCTTGTTGAATTTAATCTCTATGCAGTTCATAATCATTACGTGGCACTTTTTCTAGTTGAGACGAAAATGAAATTCCATAGAAAATATCTTTTTTGGCAGCAAAAATCAATTTAATTGTCAGAGAAAAAGATCATAGAATGGAAAAAATTCTATACACTCTTCTTAAAAAATTTCTCTATCCATTCAATGACAACATTGAACAATATTTTGTTATTCTTTCCATATTCAATAATATTCTCTATTTATGATTTTTGATAAAAGCACATGCATAAGTTAGTGAGCATACATTTATTCGTAAGAATGTCTCAAGTGATACTGATTTGGAACTACTAGTATTCTCTGTTATTCTTTTCTCTCAATTTTAATGTTTAATCTGTTTTTATTCATGTTTTATTTCAATAATTATTTACAATAATCAATGTTTATCTGCCCGAGGAAAATAGTCTTTTACAGGTTTAATACATTTATACGTATCAATTAGAGACACAGAAGTCAGTTTGGCACAATTAACTCGTGTTGCATGTCTTGTGAAATTTTCTGTAACTCTTTTCATTGCTTGATAATCGACAAGAAGATGGGCATTATTCGGAATAAATGCATCCGTATCAAGTAAAAATTGTTCGACATAATCATTATGAGCTTGAAGAAGAGAGAGTTTAGTTAGATGAGGATATTTAATAATTGATAAATATTGATTGTCGTTCTTTGATTTTCTATATAATTTATTCTTCTGCGGTTTTTCATTAATTACAGTTAATTCCTTCATAAATGGAAATGATTTCTGAATTCGAATAAAAAATTCATGTTCAAATGGACGTTCATCAAATAATGATACTCTATGAGCATTTTTAAATAATCCACCTGGAAAATTATTTGAAATATTAACATAATAATTCATTCTATATGGATATGAATAAATATGACAATAACTATATTGTTTTTCTTGGAAATAATCAACACAAGAAATAATTTCATTACTCTTAAAATCTTTGAATGTACATTGAATATTTTCATTTGAAAGTATATTAGTTTGATTAGGAAGATAATTGAATAAACGAATATTAAATGTAAATTTATTTAATCTTGGCATATTATTGATAATATCTTCTTTGAAATCATTTCCATTAATAAATCCTTTCTTACGATACACCACAAGTTGTAAATCAAGTTTTTCTAAATTCAACATCGGATGTAGAAGTGGTACAATTAATTCATCATAATTATGTAGATCATTATTAAAAATGTAACGAAAAATATCTTAGATTCGGTAATTTTTCCTAGAAAAGATAAACAAAATTCAATCTATTGAATATTAATCAGAAATAATTTACCCTACTATGAATTGTTGAAGTGGTGCATTGAAAGAATATAATATTAACATGAAATATATGAAGTTGATTAAAACGTCCATCAAGTAAATAAAGCAAATCGGTAAAGTAAGTTCTACAAATATGTAATTCTAACAGATTAGAAGAAATAGCACTTGGATATGGCATCTCAAATAAAGATGGTGGTCGCAAATTTGACTATGGGCCGAAGCTTAAATATTGTAAATTGATGAACATAGTAAATATTTTTGAAAATAGAATATTATTCACATCTTTTTTAAAAACTGCAATGTGTTCTTCATCTTTACTAATATCGATAACAATTGATGATATTTGGCTTCTGTTTATACGAGTAAAGACAATATCATCTAAATAAAAATAAAAATGTTAACAAACAAATAAACTATTTTCAATATTGATCAAATCATATTATTGATTTTTTTTCAATTTATTTCAAATTAATAATAGAACATAGAAATTCATACTTAAATTCGTCAATGATTTACTCGATTCATCATCATCATCATCATGTCCCATAGGCTTAGCGCCCGTTGGGGCCAACCATTTTTACGGGATCAGATTTTTCCACGCCTGTCGGTCTTGTGCGAGGTGGAACAGCTCTTGTCCACTGCGTTGACACCACTCTGTTATGTCATCCAGCCATTCTCTGCATGGACGCCCCCGGCGAGATTTTCCTTCCATGTTCGAAAATATTATGTGTTTGATTAATCTNTATTTATATTTTACAGCCGTTTGCATCTCTTTAGTTTTCGTCTTTTTTCAAATATATCTAAGACAGTTTTTGGGTCAACTCAAAGTTTTGTAGAGAATTTCAAGCACTATCTTTCGATAATAAAGAGAGCTTTAATTACAGGGATAATAGAGAAGAGATCTTAAAAATACTGAGAGGCTCATTCTTTCTGGGACACCCGATAGTATTCAAAATTAAATATTTTACATGTTTGAAATATAAAACTTTCAATTGAAAAAGGTGGGTGAATGTCTTTCTGTAGCATCCAAATCGAAAGAGATGTGTCTCTCCTTCATTTGGTCACTATGAAAGAAAAAAACGCTACCAATGTATCTAACTGAAACTAAACGTTCACTTTGCTTAAATTTATTTTGTTGGACAATACTCAGTTAAAAGTGTGGTGTACCATAACACTCTACATTTCCATTATTCTTTATTTTACTTCAAGTTCATTTTGTTGATTGCCAATCGTTCTTCTTTTTCCTTATTATTCTTCTCGTTCTCGTCTTTTCCAACACCTAACCATTGCAGACGAGAACAAAGTAGTTCTTACTAGGATATTGAATTTTTTCTCTCTCATTAATTGTTGTCTTCTATCATTCTCTCTCTATGCATGTTTGTAAATGCTTTTGAATCATGAGAGATCTATGTATGGATACCTATCAGCACATATAGTTATGTGACAAAATTCGAGTTCACTTGAAAATTGAATCACGTAACTTCGGTATATTCTTTTCGATTGACACTTTTAGGATGTTCTACGAATTATTAGATCTATCTATAGACGAATTTTTGGATTGAAACTTCATTATATGGTTTTTGACAAATTGCCTACAAATGAGTTGAAAATCTACTAAATCGAATTATAATATGGCTTCAATATCTCATGGAAATGAATCTTTTAAGACTCTTACTAGTTCCACTGAGACCTATTTATGAGTCCAATATGAACTTAAATAGTAGGGGTCAACTGGAATAATTTCTTCGTGAGTATCTACTTGAAAATTTGCATATAGAATTAACGAGACAAATTACTCGATATTTAATGATTTATGAAAATAAGAAAAAATATTTTGATTATTTTCAGATAAAAAAAAACCATTAATTGGGTCAATGGATACTATGATTCATCGTCTTTTTCAACATCTTTATATTATTTTAATATTCATTATGTCGATATTTAATATTTCATTAATCTATTTGATTGATGTAAATGATGAAGATAATATGAATGATCATGATGAAAATGCAATAAATGAATCTATGGATGGTTAGTGTAATAAATTTATATTTGATTTTAGTCCTTAAGAAAAAACAAATACTCATTGAAATTAGATTTTTTTATCGATGATTGTTTTTTTTTTAAATTCATTCATTTCTCATTGAATAGAAGATGAATAAAATTTGATAAAACTTATTCGAGTAAGTCTTTCAGATAATCTATCTTAATCACTTGAAAGATATTCATTTAACAATCAAAATATTTTAGATTAAAAATTATTATTCTTTTTATTTTTATAGGATATTCTGAAACAGTTATCGAAATACCACTTAATCCAATCTTTATTGTTCACCGTATGTGTTTAGTTATTGTACAAAAATATTTTTACATTGAAATATTTTCGAAATTATTAGACCTACAAATAGCTGATCTTATTGTACACACTAATGATCAAAATTATATAAGATTTGGACAAACTCAAATTTGTCATTTAGGTTCTTTGTTCACGTTTTACTTGTCTCTTGTATCTATTTTTTATTATTTATTTTCTATTTTAGCTGAAGTATTATTTTATAAGATTCAAAGTGAGTTTTATTTTTAAATTAAAAATGAAAAGATTAATAACATGATGATTTCAATTGATTTTTGTAGAATTGATCAAAAGAAAAAAGCATTATATATTTGTTATATTTCTTGGTATTTGTATTTGTATTTGTAAGCATCATTTAAAAAGAAATCTTTTATTCATTAATTTTCGTATCATCTGTTAAGACTGTAAACATTATACTGCGAGAGTCGAATTATCAAGCAATAAAAATTTAGAAATATATGATAAGTTAATACTTATTCCATTAAATGATACTGATCAAGGTATTGAGGAAAACATTTTATTTTATTTTTTTCCTATCAATCTATATTATAGATCTTATTATAAAAGAAAAAAATGTTTCTTTTAATATTAATGTAATAGGAGATAATAAACTTGATGTTGTTATTGATGATACAATCAATAATTCTGTAAAAAATAATAGTAAGCGAATTATTTTTGAAAATTTTCTTTTATCAAATATTTAATATTAATATTAAGAGTCAAATGTTAAAGATATACCAAAAGTAAATTGTGTAATAACAATAGGCAATAATTTAATGTGTACATTATATGATGCATTTTTATATGGTTTTACTCCCTCATTTTGTTGGATAGATGATATCAAAAATTTTACTCCAGCTAAAGCACCAGATGATATACATTCGTTTTATGATAGTAATGAAAAGAGTATGTTATTTTTCTTTTCATATATAAAATTTCTTCAGTTAATATTTTATCTTTTTTTTTTTTTTATAGACTCAATGAATATTATTAAGAATAGTATTAATATTGCCGAAGAAGCAGGTCTGTTAAAATTTATTCATGTTTTCTCTACGATAAAATTTAAATTATATAATTAGACGAATTGTTATCATGTTTTAAAAAATTCTTTATTGATATTCTTAATGATGAACAATCACATCAAAAACGTCTTATGAATGAATATTGCATCTCAGAAACAGCATCAATAGGTAAACCTGTAGGATTTATTAATTTATTTATTTACGCTTGAAATATGTCTTTTATTTTTACAAAGATGTATTATCTGATCAAATATTACAAGATGAAGAAAATACTATTGATGAAAATAAAGTCGATCATGAAGAATTGATACTGCCTACTTATTCAATGAGTATGCATTTTCGAAAACAATGGAATTCTGTCTGTCCGAACGAAGAATAGCTTAGCGTAAAGACCATGTTGCATAAGTCAACAAAAAAAAAAAAAAAAAACCTTTCTTTTACTTGACATAATACAAAACTCATCTTTCGTGTTTTTCTTTTTGTTTTCTAATCAATTTGCCTAGTGATTCAATTTTCTTTCAATTATATCCCGGTGAAATATTAATATGAATTAAATGATTTTTTTCGTCAAATGATATTTTCTTTTGTTATAATTTGTAAAAATTTAATTTTTCAAAAAAAGTGAATTTTATGCGTTAATTATTTGTCAACAAATGTTGGCATATTAAACATAGTTATAATTTCTTTTTTTTAAAATTATTATCTAGTCGTTTTCATATCTCAAATGAAAAAAAAAAACAAAAAACAACAACAAGAAAATATTCAAATCATTTAATTTACATTGATTTATTTTACCTGTGATTTAAAATCGAAATCTCATGAAATAAAAGTTGATTAGAATTTTTATTGTCTTCTATAAGAAATATATTGTGACTTTTTTTTTTTCGAATGCTCGAATATCATTTAAATTTGTTGTTTTTTCGTTTAGAATAAATGATATTTTTCTGTGTTGAATAGTTAAGTTTACTTTCTTCACTTTACATTTTAGTTTTATTTTCTTGTATTTTCAAAAAAATACTTTTAATTTCACGAAGTTTTTTTTTTTTCAACATCGATGCTTTTCAATTTTCTTCAGTTTCTTTTCTCAATTCTGTCATTCCATTTGTTTGTTCAAAAAATATACCAAGGATTTTAAATGTCGCAACATGAAACAAAATATTAAAACAATCGTTTAAGAACAGCAATGGAGATTGTAAAAAGATACATAGTTTCGAAAAAGTATTATCCAATCCTTCGTATATGGAGTTAAATGTTCATTGTTCACGACCATATATCAACATATACAGTCATGTACGATCGCACTATATGTGAAATATCAGATTTTACTTTTCACCATACATACTAATTTAGGAATATTTTTTACTAAAATTTACACATTCTAGACATAATTATGAAGTTTTTGATTGGAAAAACTACATTCAAAATAGCTCCCAGAGTTATTGAAGAAGAAGAATTTATAAAAGTAAGAAAGAACTATAGAGATCAGAGATCATTACAAAGAAAAAAAAATTAAAGTAAGTCGGGGGTTAACGCATAAAGTAAATAAGTGATCTTCATCAAAATAGCTATAGTTTTTATATTTTTCATTTTATAAAAAATTTTTGCTCAAAATCTTGTAAGTACACCTATTTACAAGGTGCTCTTTGAGCAGTACTTTGCAACTATATATTTATCCCGTTTGGGTCTAATGTATAATCTCTCTGATGTCATTCAGGGGGGGGGGGGAAGGAGAAATGTATAATCTCAGTCATTTTTTTAATATATTTTTTAGATTCTAAGTTTTGAACGATTGGTACTTGTTTTTTTTTACTAATCGATAGCTCAAAGCCTTTTTCATCGTTATAAACTAATCTTTAGGCTATATATAAAGTCTACTTTTATTTAACAAAACTTACAAAGAGAGCTCTAAACAAAAAACTTGTATTAAATTACCCTTTGTGAAGTGAATGTATAAATTCAACAGATTTTGCTGGACACACTAAAACTCACATTTTAGCTGATCTATAAGGAATGTTGGGATGCTCTCTCGACGACAAAATTGTTCAGCACGATGACTTTAATAATTCTAAAGCATTTTGAAAATCAAATTTTTATTTTCATGTGTATGTTTGTATGCTATACATGAGCGAAATATGAAAATTATTAAGCTTGAAATGTCTATGTTTGAAGTGAATTCCACCAAAACTACTATTAATATGATGGTTTACACTCTTCGAAAGAAATCAGAGTCTATTTTTTTCATTCTTTGCACTGATCTAGTACAATTCTTTTTTCTAATTTGGGTGTGGGTGAGTGTGAGTGTGGTTGTTGATTTTGGTGTAATTTAGGAATAAAGCAACACACACATACACACTCATACCCTGAACATTCTGATGTTGAAAACAAAACTGAAAGCCAATTCATGTTCAGTTTATTTACTAACCGGTGATAGTGTTAAATCTCTTATCTTGTTAAGTAATGTTGTACTTATTATGATCAATGAGCTATGTGGTAGTAATGATAGTACGTCAAGTCTAGTTTTACATAAATTTTGAGCTTATATGCCAACTGTCGTGACAATACTGTCAATATTAATGCTTCATTTAGTATCTGTTGAAGGATATTGTTTGACAAGTCGTAATATATATCAACGACAATGGAGATCAGTTAAAAATGCTAGAATTTCAATTATAATTGCTCTATTATTCTCATCTTTACTTTCTATTCCTGATTTATTTTGTGTTGGTATTACCGAAACACATTGTGGTTATATATCGAAAAATTATGATCAATATTTTACCTATTTTGTGGCTCCAGTTTTATTGACACAATTACCACTTTCTGTTCTATCGACCTTTGGTTGTGTTACTCATTGAAATCTCAAAATTATCTTGGTGCAACACGAGAAATGCAAGCACAACATTACAATAATCAATTAATACATATGTTACTCGTTCAAATTCTAGGTTTTTGTTTTGTTTCAGCACTCACTCTATCCATAATTAAATTGTCTATTACAATAGTATTGAATATGAGAGAAGTTTCTAAGAGAATATCAACGGAAGTTTTCATTGAAACAATTGCATTTCTAATTTACACTTCTTATCAATGTGGAAGCTTCTATATTTATTTTTTAACATCTTCAACTTATCGAAATGGATTAAAGAATATTTTCACGGAAATTTATCGGCAATTAAGGAGAAAAGTGGTTGCATAAGTAACAGTTTCAAATCCGAATTAAAATAAATGAAATTGTCTCAAAATATTAGAAATACTAGCTGATTTATACAAATGATGAATGAGATATTGGTATTTTCAATGTATTTGCTTCATAATCAGGATTCAGTGCTGATTGTGATGATAATGCTGATTGATATTTTTCAAAATAATTATCAAATATGTCAGAAACTCGCTTGTTAATCAAAATCACTTCTACATCCAATTGTCTTAGATAAGTCTGACGATCTTCGTCTGTTGCTAGGAGTAATAGATGACTGTTGCTCACTAGTTGACACATTGTTAATTCAGTCAAGACATCAAAACAAATATTGCTTAAAAAATAAGCAAACGAGATGTCTTTCTTGAGATTGTCAAGCATCGTCACCGAGAACATATTCGTTTGTTTCCAATCGTTAAAGTCATGCAATGAACCGTATGGATTCGATATCATAGTCAAAAAGTTTTTGATTACCTAGAATGACAATCGTTAAAAGTAAATATCTTAATCTGTGTATAGGCTTACCTCATTTACTAAGTTCATCTGAGTAGTGAATGGTTGTAGGAATTGAAAGAGACTTCTCCAACTCTCACTCATAATTTCTAATCCGTTCAGTGCTTTCAAAAGCAAATGACCATTTTCTTCTGCCCATTTAGCATAAATTTTATCAAAATCGTTTGTTAAATGTATTAAATTCGAAATATTGTTATGCATCTGATTTAATCGAAAAAGTGCTTCGGTATGTTGTTTTTCAGCATTCAGATATTGATTTAGAGCTGAGACCATGACCGGATCATCGATATATAATAAACCAACTTGGACTGCACGAGTCACAGTTGCTTGATAGTTATCTCGAGCTTGATTCAAAGCAGTTCGAGCTTTTTCTTCTTCAACTTGGAATTGGTATAATGATGGATACGGAGGTTTTGTAGATCGTTCATAAATACGTTGATGGGTTGTATTAGCAATGTGATCATACTGTACTGATGTGTTTCTAATCAATGGAGTGAGAGCTCGGGTTTTATTTTCTAATTTTTCATTGATTGAAGGAAAAATTCGAATCGCATCGACATTGGAATCGAAGGTTTGCTGGAGGATTTCCAAGATTTCAAGCACAAATGGGAATGACTCGTTACCGAGCGAAAGCATGAGAAATGTTTTTATTCTATCGATATCATCGAATACTTGATTGCTGCTGGCCAATACACGATTGACAATTTCCAGAATAGATTGTAGATTTTCTCGAGTATCTTTTGATACTTGCATGATAGAATTATGAACTGTATATTTATTGTAGGGATTAGGAAATCGAAGGCTATAGGTGACATCCGTTTTTGAAAGTGCTACCATCAAACGACTCAAATGATTCGTAATCATAGCGCCGGAGATTAATAAATTCTTTAACTCTTTATTATCAGTAAAATATCGCGTGATATGTGCGTCTGTTGAATCATTAAGAGAAGCATACGATGAATCTTTAAAGGATAAAGTTGGTCAAATTATAAAAATTTCGAAAGTCGAAAGCTCACCTTTCAAACAACGATGAGTTATGTAGCCTTGTAGATCTTGTTTTATGTTTAATATGGAAGTTGATTCGCAAATGATTATTGTCAGAAAAGTAATAAGTACAAGGATGAACTCGGGTACTTGCATTTTTCGATTTGATAAATGGCTACATAGCTTTGGTATGTGTGATGAAATATATATAGGCTTTCTCGCTCTAGAACAATATTGATATCAGTTGGTTGGTTAATTGGATGCTATCACAATAGGGTTTGATATGACGGAATTACTTCTTCATCGAAACGGAGAATATCAAAGAGAAAATTCAAGTAATTCGATAGTACTTAATACCCAATTCAAACAAGAAGGCAAGTAGGTCTCTTTTTCAAATAGATTGGCGTCGCCATTTGCTGTCGAGTTCGGTTTTTTGCTTGACGACAACCAGAAGAGAAGCATCATATTTTTCATCCTTGACTATCCATTCCGATTGTCTAACGATCTGAATATTCAAACTCAGAAAATTAGGATGTCGACACAAGAAATGATCTAGTTCGACTGGATCTTCACGATCGTATGAGAATAGGTTATGTCATTCTGATGACAATATCAAATTCAAGTCTTTTTTCTAAGAAAAAGAACACTAAGCATCTAATGGTGATTGATTTGGTACTTGTCTTATCATCTGACGAAAATCAAATATTTCAAACGAAATCAATTCTCATCAAGTAGAAAGTCAAAACAAATTGCAGAAATGATCATACCAATATTTTGTTTTCATATTTCTTCAGTCGTGAACGCTTTCTTCGGATAATTTTCAACAGATCGCACGAATTTTTTTGGACGCTCAGTAATATCTTTCGAAGGTCATCAATTCAATCTATTAGAATAGACCAGGCTGTCAGACAAAGTGAAAGTCAACATTTCTTTTGTAAATTAGCTAATGTAGAAATGAATATGTTAACACAATTCTGCTGTTGCTAGATGAATGATGAGTACTTCAGATGGGACAGATCGTTGCAACTCATTCATCAAAACTGTTTGCTACAGTTAGAAAAAGGTAATGTTTGAACTACACCCATGCTGTGATCATTCTAACATCGACTTGCATAATCATCTGATTACTAAGAATAAAATTATACTTCGCTGTCATCATCTAGTCGATAAAAAAATTAGGACTAATTGACGAAGTGCATTTCAACGTACAACCGCAAGTAACGCTCGTCTGTGTGACTCGCTTGACCTTCGACTGAATAATTCATGTTTGAACAAGATTATGTGTGAATATGGATATTTATATCCACATCAGTGTCATTCTACACAATGCCATGCATGCCTGTGGGATACTTTTGCCATAAATTCATCCAATCAAATCGACACACACACACACATTAATAACCAACGGAAACCTTAATGAGCCACAGTAAGGCAGCAGTATCACACGCCCCATGAAAAGAGATTATCTTCAGTAAGTTCAGAGGATCACCGTAGAAAACACATCCGCGACACTAGCGTGGAAAAGCACCATGCGCATTAAAAGATCTAATAAAAATTACTAGGGTAGGTGTGGGTGTCGGTGAAGGGTATTAGATGACACCATAATTCACACGCACACTCACCCATCCACACCCACACCCGATGAATACATACTCAAAATAGAATTATAAGTAGGATCCGGAAATAGAAATGGTTCTAGACAAAAGTGAAAATTTCAGAGGAAAAGAAAACATCGTCGGACTAAGGTCTGAGAGGATCGGAGCATGGATTTAACTCAATCGTGGGAATCAACTGCGAGCTGCTCGCTTAAGTAAATCTTATAACTACAGAATGGAAAGTAGAAAGATCTGATCCTTTTACAAAATGATCATCACTAACAATACTATAGACAGATTTTCGCCTGTGCATCTGTCGAACAATAATTCTCAAAGCAGAACTCCGAAAACGATAATAGATGATTACAAGATTGAATTCAGTCAAGTATTAAGTGAGTCCTGCCGACGAGCATTACTTGTATTCTATTGCTTCACCAAGGCCAATGTCATCAAATAAGATTGCATTTATTCTTTGTAGAAAAAGTGGTCGACAAGCTCATTCTAAATACACAAAGATCTGCACAATCGAGAGAGAAGAAAAATTCGTGAGAGATATCGACGTTGATGTGATGAAGAATTAAATGTTTCACTTCTTAATAAACAAGTACATTTGGTCCAGAGATCGAAACGAATCAAAAAAACATAGCTTAATTCTTACTCCCTTGAACTACTTACATTTAATATGAACTGATATTTACAACGAGAAGTGGGACCCTTCTCATAAAAAAGATTGCTTCTGCTTCAAGAAGCAGGCAGTCATGTCACTTTCTGAAGGATGACGACAGGATTTTACTTCAGTGTTTCTAACAAGAATCTAAAACAAAGTGTAAATGTACACTATAGAATGTCAATCGCTTATAAAGATGTACATTTTTTTTTATTAAGATTAAAAGGGAAGTCAATCAAAAGTAGCATCAGTTAATCCATTGTATTGGATAGTCTTCCATTGATTTATGTGACTCGGATTGTAAAGCTTCATTTCTATCGAAACAAATCGTCGTCAATGTCTTTAAAGAGATTAAAATCAATGTATAGAAGAAAAGTATCGAATGAAATCTACTTGGTTATTTTGTAGAATGCCAAGAAAATGTTGTGCGCCTGTAGTTGTTATTTTATTCAATCGAAGATTCAATGTGGTGAGTGTCTGTGCATCGATAAAAATGTATATAGGAGAATTTTTTTTTACAAAAAGGATGAGAGTCACCGTATTGTATCTTAAAGCATCAGCTAGATGATCTGCTCCTTTGTCCTGTATTTCATTACGCCAGAGATCCAACGAAATCAGTTGCTAATCATCGAAGAGGTAGTAGGAAAGAGAGAAAGAAAGAGTCACCATTACCTTATTGTTTCGTAAGGCATTAGCAAGATAATGTGCTCCAACCTCACCGATTTGATTCCATCGAACATGAAGTTGAATGAGTGTCTTTTTACATATGAAGACAATTTGCATTGGAAATTGGTGATCGAAAAAATAAATATTACTGTGTTATGTTCTAAGGCATCAGCCAAATATTTTGCTCCGTTATCGCCGAGTCCATTTTTGTAAAGATCAAGTGTTGTAAGTGTCTAAATGGAGAGAAATTCAAAACTAGTACAATAAAAAAAACAAATCACCATGCTATTTCGTAAGGCATTAGCGAGATATTGGATATCTCTTTCTTTGATTGGATGTTTGTACAGCGACAGTGTCTATATGTATCGAACATGAATGTCAGGAAAAAGAGGCATGAACGAGAATTAGAAAGTTACTTGATTGCTTCGGATTTTCACAGCTGCTCCGACAGTCACACAATATGTAGTAAGGTTGCTGTCGAGGTTAAGCGAGTTGCACGTCTAAAATTCGATAAGAAAATTTTCAACTAGACAAAAATGAAGCATAACTCTCACTGTGTTGGTTATTAATGCATCAGCTAGGGCTTGTGCTCCTTCGTCGCCTATGCGATTTTTGTACAGATCGAGTGTCTTCAGTGTCTGTTCATGAATAAAACAAATTAATTATCATAAAAAGATCAAGAGAAAAATTCAAAATTACTTTGTTAGATCGCAAACCAGTAGCTAAATACTGTGCGCCTTGGTTTCCAATTTGATTAGATCGAAGGTTCAACGATTTAAGGGTCTGTATGTAAATGAAAAAAAAAAGATAACATCAAAATGAACAAATCAATAGATACCAGATTATTTTGCAAGGCAGCTGCAAGAGATTGTGCTCCAATGTCTGTAATATGGTTGAAGCTAAGATCCAACGTGATGAGTACCTATACTTAGAATAGATCTTTTGTTTTACATGAGAGATAATGGAATAATCACGATTACTGTATTATGTTGTAGAGCATCAGCCAGATATCGTACTTCTCTGTTTCCAATTCGATGGTTGCAGAAACGTAGTGCAGTAATTGTCTATGAAAAAAGCGATAAAAGCCGAATGAAAATCATCGTACTACGTAGTTCGAAAGACACCGAAGAGCAATGCTCATCAATGATAATATACGACCGTTCAATTGCTGAAATTCTACAAAGTCTGATGAGATTAGGAAAATAATTAGCAAATGACGATCGATTAAGACGTCTACCAGCAACAAGAAATCTGTCTGCTCATATAGGTTTTATCGCGCAATTTTTTATATGCTTGCAATCGCTGTAATTACACGTAATCGGACTTTTGCGGCGTAATTGTCCTGCAATGCGAAAAAAATGCTGAATTGATGAAAATTTGAAAATCATGCTGAAAAATCGACCTCTAAGAAAGGTCGGTTATATTTGTTTTGCAAAGAGGATTTTGTGAAAAAACTTCGTCCTTCAATCAGTCACGATTTTGGTGTTAACTAGCGTACAAAGACCCATATTTTCTGTCGTTTTAAAAATATACTGTAATTAGAGACGCCCTGATAACACACTTTAAATCACTATTGCGATCGCAATCACCATATTACGTCGCAGTGGATAAAAAGGGAGCACATGGGATTTCAATAATTTTGATTTCGTAACACCGTAACTGATATGTAAGAGGAAATGGTCTTAAATGGTGAACCTGTTGAAATCTCCCTAAAATCGTCCATTTTTAATTTACTAATGCCAGTCAACATTCGAATAATTCTAGTATGAAATGATCGAAATATAACCATCAATCAACGAAATTTTATCCTATCCTAGAACTCGAATTTGATATTGGAAAGTTCTATTATAAAAAGAGAATTTCATACGTACTTCCTCAGTACAATCATCAATCGTTTTGTTGATCGATCTGTGAGTAAAACGATGAATACCATCTGTTGACATTATTTCATATCTAATGGTCTGGTTCGAATTAGTTAGTTCAGTTGGTGTTGTGTATAGTCTAACTTGATGCGATCGAAATACGTAATCACAAGTAAAAGTCCAATGTTTTTCTTTAAGCCAGAATCTTGTTCGAAAAGGAGCAATGATTGATTTGAGACTAATGAAATGAGTATCATTCGCATTGGATAAACTACAAAAGGCGACAAATTCGAACTGTTTCAGTGAAGGTAATTTGGTTTCGATCAATCGTTTCCAAGAATAACCATCCCATATGGAATCGAGCATTCGTTCATCAGAGCCGAATTTCAAATGTACAAGAGTTGGTGTGAATGAAAGCAGCAATTCTAATGCTATCATAGACAAGGAACACTGTTCAATGGTCAAAGACTTCAAAGCAGAAGCATATGTTGAATGAGATAATGAACTCATGGTTTCTTCATTATTATTCACAATGCAATCTCTCATTACAAACGTACGTAAATTAGGAAAATGTTGAATAATGGCAACATATTCTTGAAAAAGACATTTAAGCATGATTAGATGTTCTAGTTTGTACTGAAATGACCATTGTGTAGCTTCAATCTGATAATCCAAATCATTGTAAAAACCTAGTTTTCGAACTTGAAACTGAGTAATTGCTCGTAAAGCAAGAGTCCAATTTGTCTTGATATTTGGTGAATCTGGTTTGATCACAAGTGAATTCAGAGATTCGCATTCTATATGCTGTAGAAAATGTTCCAATAGTGCATTATCTGAACAGTTCAGAGTCAATGAACCAATTCGAGTGAAACGACAAGCACCGAAAAATGTGACAAATTGTCGAATTCGATCATTTCTGGTACCATCATTGTTTATAATCAGAGAAATAACGTTTTCGGGTCGAACATGACAAGAAATCCGTTTGAAATAGTGCTCTGATGATGAGTCATAGTTGAGCTTCAATCGATTGTAGCTATTAGAAATAGCATGAAGTTGTTTGGAGACATAACCAATCGAAACAAGAACCGTTTGAATATCACAAAAATCAAAAATACGATGCAACAATTCAACGGGCAAACTATCAAGAGATGCATGAACCATCGTTATGGATACAGTAGAAATATGTAGTCAGTTTGCGTGCGCTTTCCGTTTATTGTGTGTCATGCGAGAAGAAAAATTGGGTTTCTTTTATTTTTCTTCGTGCATATGCTGCTCTGTCGACACGCATGACTCATCAGTTTCAAGTGCAGAACCGAAAGCAAATGATTCACAGAGAAGAAAAAAACGTTTGCCAACGTCAACTTATGTGTGATCGACCTATGATTAATCATAAGCTTTTTTAAATAGCGTATCGATATGTTTGCCATTATCTATGGGGGAAGGGGATGGTGTTCGTGGTTCACTTTTCTCGCTATATACTTCAACACTCATTAACAATCGTGTTTCGAAAATTGATTTCGTACCTAAGCAAGAATTTTATGCGGCAAATAAAATCGTTGATACTCAGCAATATCCTAAGTAGAATTTCAACATATTTTCCCTGAACTGTGTAAGAGACTTTTTCTAAGATGCTTTTCATAATCCACAACAATGTTAAATGAATTTTAAAAATTTAAATGACATATGAATTGAAATACTTTTAACTCAGATTATTTTAAAACATCCATGATCCGAAAATGTCAAATTCAATCGTCAAAAACCTCAGAAACACCAACAAAGTACTAAAAGGTGTAGCCAAAGCAAAAAAGAACAGTCACGTAGAGCCAAGTAGATGGTGGTTTAAAAGGGTGAGTGAGCTGAACAACTGTAGCCGATTTGAAATCTGCACATACCTCGTCCTTTATGATACGAAGGAGAACGACGAACTTGGCCCATTGTCATCTGGTTGGGAAATGTCACGAAGTGATAATAAACGTTTATTTTTCATTGATCATATTAATCAGCGAATTAACTGGGCGAGTTCAATTGTTGAATTCTAGATTTTGGCTCTGATGTATGCGGATGTGGGTGTCCTGTTCACCCACACCCAACAGGATCCTATAAAACAAACGTTGCTTCCTGTTAATTAATGAGTTCGTTGATGTTTTATTCGTTTTATATGTTCTTACAGAAAGGGTGTGCATGTTTGTGAATGTGAGGAAGTGAGATTGTAAGGATTAAAGCACCTCGCTCACACACTCGAAGAAAACTCCACGTACTTTCGTATGTGATAATTATCAAAAGCAAAGTCTGCTCATACATTCTTTCGATCCTGTTTGTGACACAAGTAGGGTATGAGAAAAAACTTCGCGACATTTTCCTATCGATATTAATAGAAAAATTTCTAAGAACTTTTTTTTCGTATAATATACCAAAAGATGCAGCGTAAAATGCTCTACAATCCACGAAGGAAAGCTTATTTTAATTGTCTATTTTTTGTATACAAAAAGAACCAAAATTCTGTGCAATCAATTTTCGACGCTACGAAAAGATAACATGAAAAGACATTTCTTTTTTCTTATTTCATCATTTTATCTCCTAATATGTTTTCGTAAAAAAAAACAAAATATACCACAAGATGCAGCGTAGAAAGCTCTACAATATATACAGGTAATGAAAAGATAAAATAAGAAAAAAGATAACTTCTTGTTCGTGTTATCTTTTCGCAGCGTCGAAATTTGGTCGTTCGAAGTTTTGACGATTTTGAAAAGAAAAAGTGCAACTGTAAAAAAAGCGATCTTATGCAAATTGTAGAGCTTTTCACACTGCATCTTTTAGTATATTATATGAAAAAAAAAGTTCTTAGAAATTTTTCTATTAATATCGATAAGAAAATGTCGCGAACTTTTTTCCCATATCTTATATATAAGAACTGAGATTGACTCTTGTGATTTGTTTGAAAATATCCTGTTGATCGAATGATAATAAATATATTTATTTGCAAAATTATTGAAACATTACAAGATTGTTCTCTTTTTCATTTAGATCATAAAAATCAATAGGTCTCTAGCAATGAGAGATAGAATCGTCCTTTCTATTCAATTCGTATATTTTTTGTATGTGAAATGACTGAAAGCATAAACTGTAGCATCGTTTTTCGCTGAAGTTGTTCCACACAAAACTGTGACACCATCGATCCTTTCAGCCATTTCATCTATATAAAATATAGAAAAGGAGAGAAAGAATAACCGTTTTTTCTTTTGTTGTTAGAGACTGAGTACTTTTTTTGCAAAGGTCATCGATCAGAGTGACTTTATCAGCAATATACTCTAGTCACAACCAAAAAACTTAGCTTTCTTGATCTCAATCGGCAAGAAGTTCAATATCAAAACCTAGTTGGCTTCGGAATGTCCTATTGTTAAGCTGTCATCAGTGTCAAAGGAATCTTTCTTTTTTTTGGTTTTTATTTAACATTTTAAAAATTTTCTTTATTTGGATCGATGATGGTACTTTCAGTGAGACTGCGTGCACAAAAGACGTATCTTTACTTAAATTTATTCTAATACAGGATTCTAAAAATTAAAACAAATGTATTAGAACTTCTTATATCGTATTTTAATTGTTAATTACTGGAAATCAGCAAAATGATTGAACATATATTAATAAATTAAGAAGTAAAAAAGTTATTGGAAGGAACAAAAAATTTCTATTCATTTTGTTTGTAAATTATAAATCGTAAGTTGATGTTCAATTGTGTACTCTATTTTTAATTCTTTTTCGTCTTCTTCTTATCTTTGATGCTAGTTTTTTTCTTTAATTTTGCTTGATTTTTATTATTAATCACTGTTTCTAGTTCATATTTTGTTACAGTTGATGGTGTAACTGTTGCAACATATAAATTAAAATTTGTCTTATCTAATGCTATGCTACTTATTGATAAATCTTCTGAGAATTGAATGATAGTTTTACCAACCAATGGATAGGATGATGATTGTTTTAAACAGAATATTTGAATACGTTTATTGCATGCGTCAACAACATATAACTGTTGATTATTTTCATCCAATGTCATACTCGATGGACAGTTCATAAGTGTTGATGAATTACCTTCAACACCAGATTTACCAATAATAACTTCACCTTTATTTGAACCTAATTTCCATTTTCGTATTGTATTTTCCCACATATTTGATATATACATAACTTGATTTGTTTCATCCAAATACATTGAATTTGGAAAATTTAATTGATTTGGTTTATTGCCTGCCCCATGACCACCAGCAACAACAGTCAAGTTTTTATTTGTACCATCATCATTGAATAATGCTTTAATAATACGATTATTATCACGATCAACAAAATAAATAGAACCTTTTGAGTCAACCCAAATTGATAGCATATGGTTATTAAATGGATTTAATTTAATAACAGTTTTACTGTTATCTATATTGAGTTGTTTCGTTGTTGACCACATACGAATACGATAATGTGGCCATCCTTCAACAACATAAATTTGTTGAAATTTTTTACTTACAAAAATACCTTCTGGATTCATTAATGCATCTTTATGATTAGTTATAATATTTTTTAACGTTAAATTTTTTAAATATAATTGTTTTATTGCTGCTCCATTTTGATTTGAAACATATAAAATTTGTTCTTGTTCATCTAAATACAAACTATTTGGCGTATTTAGATATCGTCTATCATTTTCACTATATTCAACATCATCATTGCTTATATTTGTACCTAGAATTATTATTGGATTTTTCACATTCCATTTTAAATTCTCTCGACCTAGTAAATGGACATACAATAAAAAACAAAATATTTATCAAAAAATTTTATAATTCAGAGATTTTTGTGCTATTACATATTGAAACAGTTGTTGTAGTTATTGCTGTTATTGTTACTATTTTTGAATAAAGAAATAAAAGATAACTGAAATGACAAGACAAACAATTATAATAACTATACTGTTACTTGTTATTCATAAAGAATTACTCACCTGGAGAATAATAGTAAAAAGATCATTATTTTGCTCTAAATTTTTTTAATGACAATTAATTGACCACGTTATTTAAAAAAACAATTTTATTTATAAATTTGAATAGAAGTAATGATTTGATATATACGTCTCAAATGGAATAGATAAAAATAATAGAAAAAAATCGTTGATTCATGAAGGTTCTCATGTCTATGGTATAAAAAGATAAACTTTAATCTTAATCAGAAAAATGGTAAATAGAAAAGAAAGAAAAGGAATCACTTGCTTCGTTTCAATGATTAAATGGTAGTTTAGTCCCTTATAGTATAAAACTATTGTGACGATAGTCTTCTTCAATTAAAATTTCTTGAAGTATTGAATTCAATATAGGCGTTTTAGAAATATCTATAGATTAAATTTTGTGAAGTGGCGAAGATGTTTCATAGAAGCTGAACGATATCAAATTTTGCATTGAATGTAAAAGTGTGTTGACATGTCAAGTGAAAATACATTTTTCAAAACTTGAGTATTTAAACATCTGATCCAATCTATGATATAATGTTTCACATAAATTGACACTTATGGACATCAGGATCGAAAAGGTGCACTATAAATATATTGAATAAAATTGTCCAATTACGACTTCTTAGTCAAAAATCTATTTTTGTTCAAGAATAACCGATCTAATTGAAAATTTTAGAGATTATGCGCCAGGATCTAAGAAGCTTAGCGTAAAACTGCCAGCCCAAAATATTCAGTTCTTCAAATATTATCTTGTATTATGGGTCAAAAAGTAAATGTTTTCGTGTCCCAGATTTCTCCTCCGAATCTCACGATGTAGATGTTGGATTGGTCTTGAGAGATAGCTAACATTTGCTGTTACAATTTAACAGAATCTAATTTTTGAAATTTTCCCTTGTTGATTTTTGACTTTTTTTTAAACTTTGAAAATGTAGGGGTATTGTGGTATAGAAAAAGACCAATTTTTCTTAAAAACAAAACGAAGTCAAACATAGAAAACTCAACCCTATTAAGTTGTAGAGTGTTATTTTCTCTTCAATTTAAAGCATTCTCGAGCTTTCTACCGTGTAAAATAGCTGAAGAATATGGAACCCACGAAGAGAAAATAATTGAGAATCTACTTGAGTATTTCGAGAAAAACTGCATCATGAAGTTCTACAAAGAAATTTATTTGTAAGATATGCGAGTGTTTGCAGAACATGTTTGCCGATGCATGCTAGCAATATTCTTCGTGTTACAAACATATAGAGGAAGTCAAAAGACAGGGTGTGGGTAGGTATTGTGGATGTGCATCTCATCACTATTCAGAGTCACAATCATATTCATCCCAACTCACACCCACCCACCCCATAATTTATTGTAGGAAGTTATTTGTCATCACTTTCACTTATGACTGTTTGAGCAGACGGCTATCGCTCTAGTTTTTGTTTTATATTGTGTGAGCAGAAACGTCGTTTTATCATGTTGAGATAAAATTCCGTGGTTCGCAGTTTTGTGGAACTCACATCTTTTTTTTGGAGAAAATAGTGAGTGTAAGTTTTAAGTTCAAGTTTTCGAACTCCCCGCCCCCACTCCATTACAGACCTTAGCAATCAATAATAAAAGATGTTAGATTTTTTTTCTAGAGTTTTTTCTTGAAAATTGATCTAGTTATAATTTTGAAAAATAATGAATATCATTATTTGCGACTTGATTAATATATATGATAGTGTGTAGGATGAGCTGTAGATAGCATAGATATGCAAAACACACTTACTTGTCGATCAATTTAATGATTATAATAATAAGAATGATAAATTAAGAAAAACGAATTTAAAAAATAATAAAAAATAATGAGCAAATAGCAATAATGCAAACAAAAAATAGGGCACCCATAGAAAAAAGTTTTAAAAGATTTTGTTCGAAATGCAGAAATTAGAGAGGTTCTTACTCTTGTAGTTGATTATCCTGCAAAACAAATAAAGTCTAAGAGAGATTTTTCAGTTTACGTATTTTGTATTAGTTGAATGGGGCTAGAGAGCATATGTGAGTTCTACATTTCAGCCCCAAAGGGGCTGCGCTAACAAGCGTTTTTTTTTGCATTTTGACGCAACCATATGTGGAATGAAGGTAGTCGTCCTCAGTCAGAACCATATTACGACAGCATCATCAAACTTTGTCTATGTATCTCATGAAATTCCCAGTCAGATTATTCTAATAGCTCAATTCTAATCTTTGCACTAACAGAAGCTTTTAAATAGAATGGGATAAACAGAAAGAAACAAACTAATCATGTAAAATAGAGGCAAATTCATAGAGTAAAAATCAGTAAAATGATTAAAATCTGCGGGATGGATACAACAAAGGAACTTTACTAGGCAACCGGCTGAGCAGCCATCACCAATCGACTGGGTGAACGAAAGTCAGTCATGGATATCAATTTCATGCCTGTCAAAATCCTTTCCAATCAGTATTTCAATCATTTATTATCTCTGTTGATGACTTTTAAGATACTCTCTCTCTCTGGACTTATAAATCCTGCTAATCAATTAATCATTGCAATCAAGTAATCGAAATCAACAATATCAAGTAATTCTTAGTAGTGATAAATTCCAACTTCGCCGAGTATTGCGTACATTAGAGGGATCCGTTCCTTACCTACTGATTCATTTATTACTTTTGCATCATGGCAACATTTGATCCTCCATTTTTGTGCTCATTCGCCTCTTTTTCTTTTTGAATTTTTTCCGACTAAATCATTCATTAAGAAAGACTGCATATAATAGCAGTAAAGCATTCAAGGTAAGGAACACAGAACGATTGATTATAAACAAAACGAAATTCATATTTGCATTAAGAAATTCAGCTCACAGAGACCATAAACACGTGGCACCGATGAAGAGATCGGATTATAGAACTCTAGCAAAACATGATTTTTTTTTAATAATTGATCTCTCATCTTCTTTGATTCTTAAATAGATGACACTTGCCTCATTATGAACATTAGACTACTTTCCTGTTCATTTGTGCAACATTGATAATTTTCAATATAATTACAATTTTTCGAATTGAATTCATATTTTAGAAGAATCAACATATTCATCTTGTTTCTTCAATAAGAAGTACAAAAAACTTTCCTTGGTGTTTATTTGACCTTGCAATTCAAAAATCATTTACATTAATCAAAAATAATATTTTTCAAAAAAAAAAATGGTTTATTCACACGTTCATGCTTACGAGAACGAACAGATCCTTTAAGATAGTACAATATGAACATAGAAATCAAAATTGAGAGTATGCTATTATCAACTTCAGTGGACATAAGGAATATCTTATTAAATAAGTTTTGTCAGCTACGAAACAAGAAGAAAGTTTTTTCAAACATTGAAATCAATTCAGATATATCCTCGAGTTTTCTTTTGATAATGTCTCGAAAAAATAAGAAGCTGAATGAAAATCATCACAATGGTTGAAATTACACACTCATTTTCTATTATTGACAGTCTAAACTACCCATCGTTGAGTGAGTGTGGATGTAAGCATTCATTTCACCCATATCCACACACTTCTCTAAAAATTCCATGCTTTGTTTTATCGAAGTTCCATTTTCATGTTACGTACTAAGACAACAAATTTTTTTTTATGTGTGGTGTTGCATCAAAAGTTGATTTCAAAACAATATATATATTTTATAACTTCTTTGAACTTATTCGATTCATAGCGAAATAATATTCCTATTTTGTTTGGTCACATTCAAGATTTGCTGATTTCGAATATGCGTTACAACATCGACGAGAAAAGTCTTATACTATGAATATGTGCTTCACAAAATCTATGTTTATAGTACATATAAATCAATGGAAAAACATATTAGGTAACATGCTTGCAACAGAAACTGACGTCGAACCATAGATACTATCAATATCTATTTGATTCGATACATTGAAAACGATAAATATTATTAGTGCAAATTTCTGACTGCAAAACTCATCTATTCGTAATTTCTGCTCGTATGCATTCGAAAGGGTGTCAAATATGTTTACATACAGTTGACGAATATTGAAAACTCGTATATGGGTTGTCCAAACGTAACAGCGTTGCGTTTTTGACACACTTTTTTTTCAATTATTTTGGAAACTATAAGAGCTAGAAAGCTCGTTCAAACGCCATTCAACGCAGTTCGTCGAGATCTATTTGTGCCATGAAAATGAGCTTTCTCGATTGAAGTCTCAAGTTTCCAAAAAGGTTTTTCAGCAGCATAACGTTGTTACATAGCAAGACCTTAAATTTGAAGTACTCTAGCTTAAGGTCTCATTTTCTGCGAAAGTCGATCTCCAAATAAAATGTGCTAAGAGCAAATTTTGTATAGCATCAAACGAGCTTTCCAACGATGAAATATTTTTCTTCTAACTATTTTCGTTGATGCAAGAAAAGCAAAAAACAAACGTAACGCTGTTACATCTTTTTCTTCGTACATTGATATCATCTTTTTTATTGGGCCTATATTCGTCTGAATCAGTTCTTTTAACTTCTAAATAGATGTTTCTGCAGTTCTAACTACTAAAAACCGAGTCGACACCTAAAGACACTTCTTAGACCTTTATAAGGCTCAACGTTTCTTGCAGCAGCAAAGTATACTTCTGCTATAGAACAGAAACACACTCATGAGGGGACATTTTGAACTGTCCAGTCTCTTTTCGATTTCGGACTCTGGGAATCATGTAGGCCTCATTAAGGTATGAAAAACCCCAAAAAGATAAATGCCCTTAGGTTTTTGGTAGTGACGTATAGATATTTTACTGCAATGTTAGCTTATGGCATATGGTATGGCAACCAATTGAACTACGGTAATTTAAGTAGAGAGTATGCCCACAAACAGATATATTTGGAAGTAAAATGCCCTGAAAAGCTCAGCTCAAAAAAATGTTTTCTTCCTGAGATATTAAAATTCCAAAAAAAAAGAAAACACTAGCATCTTCTGTAGAATATAAGTGATTTTTAGGACTTGGATATCTCAGAAAGAAAACATGTTTTTGAGCTGAGATTT